GCTACCGATCACCATCGGCCGATAATCACGCTGGAATGTTTGATCGGCTACCGATCACTATCGGCCGATAATCACGCTGGAATGTTTGATCGGCTACCGATCACCATCGGCCGATAATCACGCTGGAATCACGCTGGAATGTTTGATCGGGATTAGGTTTAAAGGGAAAGAGAACTTTTAGATAAAGAAGGCAATAATAGATGGCACTCGTGCGTATAGGAAAACAAAGTCACCGCACGATTGCTTGTAATAAAGATTTCAATGCAAAAGAAAAGGCAGTAGAGCTGTCTATTACTGTCAATGGTAAGTTTGTGATAACGTAAGAAAAGTAGTTTAAATGTTTTGCCACTTGCTTGAGCAACTTAATATATAAATCTAGAAGTAAATGCAAAAGTAAAAAGCATTGAATAATGTGTTGCTTATATTTATTGTGTTTAAACATGTCTGTGAAAGATTGTATTACTGTACTGTGAAAAAGCATTTTCAGTGACGATGTTTGGATTTGAAATCAAAATAATGGATAAATGTTTTGTTTGTGGTAAACATCAGTAGCGGACTCTTGTGTGAAAGCACAGTCCGTGCTGCTTCCCCTCTCACAAGAGTCAACTAAGAGGGGAATTCCCCCATTTTTAAAAATGAAATTCAGGCCCGGAATAAATGTCTAAAAATCCTGATTGGAGTATCACTATAAATAATTATAAATACTAAAAAGAAGGCTTTAAAAAGATTGTTATCGGTGATCGTATCGGCAGATACTGCTTTCTGTGATCGGCGATCGGCCTCAAAAATCGGAGCACCCCTAATTAGAATGATTTCTGAATGATCATGTGACACTGAAGACTGGCGTAATGCTGAAAATCCAGCTTTGCATCACAGGAATAAGTTAAAATGTAAAATATATTCTATTTATTTTAAATTATAATAATTTTTCACAATATTAAAATTTTTACTGTATTTCAGCAAATAAATGCATCAATAGTGAGCATATAAGACTTTCAAGAACGTCCAAAGATCTTGTGAACAGCACTCTGTGTAATTGTTGTGTTAGCCAGTTTGTTTATACCTACATGTAAAGAAGTGCATTAAACATATTTCATAAATGGCATTCACACGTGCATTTTTAATTTAACTTTTTGTCTTAATTTTTCAAATAATCTTTTCTTTTTTTTAATCCTTTCAATCTCATTAGGCTCATTAGATATTGAGAAAACCAAAGCTCTATACAAAGACCTGGTGTCCGTGTTTGATAAGGTGGTGCTCCCCACTCACGCTTCCTGTCATGTGCAGTACTACATGTTCTACCTGTGCAGCTTCCGCCTGGTAGGTTCCCACGTCTCTCTCATTCTCAAAGAAACAAACAAAAACATAACTTTAATCTCTTTTGTTTAGGGTTTGGCTGAAGCTTTTTTGGATCACTTATGGAAGATGTTTCACGCCCCCAACCAGCCCCCCGTCCTGAGACAGGCCGCTGCTGGATACATGGGCAGCTTCATGGCAAGAGCCAAGTTTTTGCCAGTATCGTATGTGACCTTTATCATGCCGTTTTATCTTATCTAATGCAGCGGAGTTCAATATTTAATCATCTTTCCTGGCAGTGGTTTGTTACCACGATTAAGTAATTAAACATGAATGACTCTTTGTTGTTATCTGGAAAAGCAGATACCTGTATTTGTCACACATCATTTGAAACCTACATGTCAAAACTGGTGCTGTAGAGTTTCCTCTCTTCCACAGGACAGTCAAGGCCTGTCTGGACCTGTTGGTTCCCTGGTTGCACCTTTATATTAACAGTCAGGACTCAGGATCCAAAGCATTCTGTGACGTCAATCTGCACGGCTCTTTTTATACAGCCTGCCAGGCTGTGTTTTACACACTCATCTTCAGACACAATGCCATTCTGGAGGGCAATATGAAGAAAGGTCAGTGCATGTGGAATTTAGCTGTTTATACATGAAGCACAGGTGTGAAAATCATTTGAGATGCTAAAACCTTTTTTTGTTTGTTTCAAGTCATGGTCAATTGCACAATTTTTTGCCCTGATCTTTTAATTTATTAAAGTAATCATGCAAACAATGATCTGAATTCATCACTTTTAGAACGTATTTGTATTTTATTACTGAATTTCTGTTTCATTTGAGTATTTTGGGGGTCAAAGAAAAAAAATGTTGTAGTGATCTATCTATCTGTTTTTATAACATAAGCAAGAAAAAAAGCCTCTTTAAAAAAAACAAAGTGCTTGGGGGGGAAAAAAACTTTAGTTTGGCATGTTTTATAAATATTTCTTAGAGAAATTATTTTTTACAAAAATGCTTCACTGCTTAATATTTGAAAAAAAATGTTTGTCTTCCAAATTAATGTCGTGTGGTCTGACTCCATCCAACATGCACAAAAAAAACCAAAAGAAAAACTTTCATACTTTTTACAGCATGGAAAGGTCAGTTCAAGGTGTGAAATGTTGTGTGATGATCTATAATTTTAAATTAAAATTAATATTAACTAATACTGTCAAACGATTAATCACGATTAATCGCATCCAAAATAAAAGTTTTGGTTTACATAATATATGTGTGTACTGTATATTTATTATGTATATGTAAAGACACACACATACAGTAAATATTTAGAAAATATTTAAGTGTATATTTATATTCATATAAATTATATCATATATTTAATATATAAACGAATATAAACAAACATATTTTTCTTAAATATATAAATGCATGTGTGTTTTTATAAATACATAATAAATATACACGATACACACATATTATGGAAACAAAATATTTTATTTTGGATGTGATTACTCGTTTGACAGCACTAATTTATTAACACTATTTTAGTGTCCTTGTTACACATTACATGTACTTACTGTAGTAATTACAGTAAATTATGCATAATTACATGACACTAACCCTAAACGAAACCTCTAATCATAAACTTAACACTGTAGTAAGTACATATTACTAATATTACTCAGTATTTAAATGTACAATTAAACTCTAACAAAGACACCTTAAATTAATAATTCATGATGTTTAATAAAAAGGCATGTTAATTTCACAAAACATAACAAATTTTTTTTTTTTACAAAAACTTTTTCATTTAATGAAAACTAACATAAATAGAAAAGCATTTGACAAGAAGTTCACAAATGTGTTTCAAACTAGACTTTTAGTTTTTCTGTATCATTTGTCCTCGACCCTTCTGCAGGGTTGGCGTACCTTCAGGGTTTGAATCTGGAGCGTATAGTGATGTGCCAGCTCAACCCGCTGAGGGTCTGTCTGCCTGCTGTCACCAACATGTTTGCAGCCATCACCAGGTACAGCACAAGAGATCAATCATCAGATTACAAAACTGAAATAATGAAATAAAAGCATGACAAATGAGGACAATTTTACCCATCTGTTGGCAGGAAGTACCAGCTCGTCTTCTGTTACACCATCATTGAGCGAAACAACCGGAACCTGTTGCCAGTTGTGAGCAATTCAACAGGCGGCAACTCGGTGTCCACTAACACAAACCCTCTGGATACCTTCTTCCCTTTTGATCCGTATCTCCTGAAAAGGTAACAAATTCATGCTCATTCCTGTCAAACTCAGCCTTGGAATGCTAGTTCACTAAAAATCATTTATTTGTCTTATTATTTATCATTTTTTACAACAGCTCTGGAAAACTCATTGAGCCAATCTACCAGGTGTGGGAGGAGCCGTCCGATTGTATGATAGATGTGCCCAAGAAGAAAGTGAGAAAGGTGATACACGTTCCCAGTGGCCACAAAGAGGATTTAGATATTTCAAATATTTTGTCTGTTTTGAGTTTAATTTTGTCTGCACATTCAGGCAATTTTGAGTGTCCATATACTTTTTTTGAAGCCACCATAAGAAAACTGACTCTTTTTGGCTCATCTCAGTAGTTTAGCCTCTTCGGGGAATATCCAATAACACTTTGATCTTCTCTCACAGGGATCTATGGAGGAGGAAGATGACTTTCTGCATGGAGGAACACCTCATGGTGACTCCGGAGTGGGCATGACTCCGGGCTCTTATGACTCCCATCTGCACAGTCCGCGGAGCGTTGGCTCTCCCCCTGTCTCCTTCCTGCAGCGGCCTTTCTGATCCACTGCTGTAGCACTCAGCTGGTCACAGATGGGCTGCTCGGCCCAACATCACACCAGGAGGGGGCGCTCAAGAACTGCTTGTGTTAGCAGCACAGATCTGACTGGAGCCCTTCACACAGCAGCATTACTGACCCGTGTTTGGCAGTAGTTTTACTAAACCCTCTACTTCACTTTAAGACTGCACCATAAAATACAAATATGTGCTTATTGCACACTTGTGCTATATTGATAGTAAAATGAAAGAAACATTGGTGGTTTCTCAAGTAGACAGTCTATTGTATTTTCTGTTTTCAGGACAAACTGTCAGCACAGATGTAGATGAAATGATCACTGTACTCAGAGTAAATGTGAGATTTTTCTTTTGTAATATTTTCAGTTTATTCTGAAATGATTTGAGAGATTAGAATTGGCTGGTGGTGTGTTTCAATGGTAAATGGGTGTCACTTCCCATGTTACGAGTTTGAGCTCTGACTAAACCAGTGTCTGTTTGCACAAAATATTCTGTAGAAAATTGACATACAGAGAATACCTTCATTTAACAATGGTTTTCTGTGGTGTTTGTTGAAATTTTAACTGTCGTCATCCTTGGCTTATTCTGTACAAATATCAATCAAACCTCCACATTGAATTGTACTTTTGCGCTACAGTTTTGAAATGGACTTGAAGTAATAAAATGGTCTAGGTGTTTCATTACAATGTGGAAAATATTATCTAATTGTTGACTTTTTAAAAGACGTGGTCCTCTTAAAATGTTTATTTTCTTCCAGCAGAAATGTAACATTTAAATTATAATTACAGTGATAATTATAAAACAAGTTTAATCGCAGAATAACAAAATGATCCTCGCCTTAATTTTCTCCATTGTATGCTTACAGTATTAATGTTTTCACTCTGTATTTTTGATCACCAAATGAAGCTTTGGTCAGAATTAGAGACCAAAGCATAAAACTTAAAAACATTTTTAAAAATAACTTTCAGAAACTTTTAAATGGTATGTGACGTGTACACACATATACATATATGTATATACTAACAAAGTGATGAACCTATGACTATGCATGTTACCATAAAAAGGTAACTGGAAGGTCAAATTCAGTGATGCGTCCTTAATAGAAACTGTACAGATGTGCGTAGTCATATATAACCAAAAAAAAGATCCACGCAAGCTGTTGCAGATTACACAAGCATTAAAACTGTGTCAGCATGCAACCCTTGGTAGCCAAATACATTTTTCAAATATTGTACCATGCGCCAGCTTTGGCTCAACAATGCAGACTGGCAGGCACGCACTGCTATTCCTGCTGACACGTAAGCATAAGCATGTCTGTCTGTTGACCACAGTGGATCTGAAAATGTCAGACAAATCCTCTGGTATTTTTAAATCTCGGCGCTGTTGTACTGAATTCCATGGCATATAATACAAAAACAAAAACCACATCACACATTTGTTCCGACTTTAATAAAAACATTAAAAGAAAGATATTTAGGCCACACATATGATGCAATCTAGTTAAATCAGAGGACTACATGTCAGCATTTGCAAAGCATGTGCTGTTATTATTATCAACAAACCATCTGCATAACCGTACACCTCTGTCCTCAGGAAATGAATGACACCAGCTTATTACACATTGATATAAGTGACTGTAGATCCTATACGGCAAGACAAAACAGCCAAATACAGTGTGCTTATGAAAACAGTAACCCGAACCATGTGCATTGTTCAGCTGAATGGATGCATTCGGGGTGAAACACTGCAATATGACTCCCATTACTCGACACCAGTGCCATGACAAGAACCCCCCCCCAGCAATCAACGTCCATCAACTAAACGAACCACGAAGGATCTCCCCAAAGCACTTAACAGACCATAACTGATCGTAATGCAGTGGATGCTGGGTGACATTGGACTGACCTGCACCGCAAATGCATCCCAGCGTAGACTGACATGATCGGCAAAGACATGAAGAGGACATCGAAGGGTTCGACGGCGAGATTTACAAGCTTTATGACGGCAACCACGCACATACTTAGAAGCAAGCGTGTCTACGTGTCTCTGAATAATAAAAGATTTGGACCGAAAATATAAAATCTTTAAAACATCATAGCACTTCTCAGAACAGATACAAATAAGCATCATATCAAATGATGAAGAGTGGGGACTGTCCCGAAGATCCCTAAGTGAAATGTAATACATGTACTGTATAATATACCTAACTCTAATAGAGAGGTTCTGCTTCATCTGCTATAAGTGTTATTAAGACACGGCTGAAATCACATTTGAGCATCTCAAAGTCACCTCTGCTGTTAACAGTGACGTCTGTGTTTCAGATTTGAATTCCCTCGGTTGGTTTCTGCCTTTATGTAATGACACTCAGTACTGCTACATGTTAAATATGTACACGGACTGCTTTAAAAAATGAGTACGAGTTTGATCAGTAGAGCTCAGGCGTCTGATAACTGCTTGAAAGAGTACAAACCACACTGCAAATCTTCCCAGTCTCTTATTTTCCGCGGTATAGTTGCAGATTGACCTTGGTGTTCTGAATGAGCCTGGTTTGTCTGTCCATCCCAGATGCTCTACTGACCTCTCCGCTCTACTGCAGGAGCCCCGAGGACAGGAGGTTGTGGCCACTGAACGAGGCTAGAGGGGAAAGAGAATTATTGCAGGTTAAGTGTGGCATTATGCAAGTCTATAATCTTCTAATGTAAATACTATGAAGAATCTCGTAAGCATGTTTGCGATTGTGTTCCATTCAGAAGTGATATGCATTTGCCATATTCCCTTAAGAGTATACACTTTCCACAGAGAGAGCTTCGGAAGTTAAAAAGGGGTAAAAAAATAACTGTCATTCAGAGCCAATATTACCAACACACGATGGCTGACACTAATGGACATCCGTTGTACCTTTTTTTATTAATAACCTCTTAATAATGTAAACATTTTTAAAAAACTGTTAGACTTTAAGAACACTCAAAAGTTTAATAAGAAAAATTAAGGGAAAAAAATAAATTTTAAATGATTAATGTAATAATTAAAGCTTAGTATAATAAATATATAATATATAATAAAACTTTTAATTTTAATAAGAAATAATAAATTCCTAAAAATTTAATATATTATTTTTAATACTATTCAATTTAATACTATTTAATAATTTAATACTATATAATATTTAGTCATTTAATACTATTTAAACACACACATGTATATGTATAAATATGCAGCGTTTACCGAAGAAAAAATATACTTTAAAAATATATATGTATATATTTTTTTTCTTCAGTAAATATATAGTTAAATGAAAATAAAGAAAATATGCTTTATACATTAAATTAATTATTATTTTAATAATACATAAATAAATACATACATACCAGTAAACAAATGTACAGAGCATGTTCAATAAATAAATTATTTAACAATAATCCAGTTAAAATTTCAGAATGATAATTAAAGACTAGTAAAACGAATAAAGACTAATAAAACCGGTTTTGTTTCAAAGGATCTTCTGAAATGCACCCTTGAGCACTTCTGTTGGGATTGACCCTACAACAAGGCTGCCCTTAAAATAGCATGATTAATATGATTTAAAACTCTACATGTCTAAAATGTGGGCCACGTGACACCTGCTTTGGTGTTTTTCAAAACTCATTGTCAAACTGGATAACGGAGAGACTTTGCAAGGTTAGCAGTTATAGCGAAGGGTTTTGTGACAGTAAAATGAACATTAGGCCTGAGCTAAACTCAGCTGACAGCAGCAGTTGAAGGGAAAAATGCTGATTGCTTTCTAACACAACAAAAACGGCCACTCACTCGGAATCATAGTCCTCTTCAGCCTTCACAACGTCTCCCTCTACGTACTGCACTAATGCTGCCAAACAACCAAACATTTTGTGAATAATAATGACATCACTGATGCAAAAACACAAGTTCAAATGAGTTAATTACAATAAAAAGTCCAGAAATTGTCCTAATGTCCCAGATTATGTAAGTCACACTGCACTCGAACAGACTGATGCGGCTTCAAACAATAAATTATTTAACAATAATCCAGTTAAAATTTCAGAATGATAATTAAAGACTAGTAAAACGAATAAAGACTAATAAAACCGGTTTTGTTTCAAAGGATCTTCTGAAATGCACCCTTGAGCACTTCTGTTGGGATTGACCCTACAACAAGGCTGCCCTTAAAATAGCATGATTAATATGATTTAAAACTCTACATGTCTAAAATGTGGGCCACGTGACACCTGCTTTGGTGTTTTTCAAAACTCATTGTCAAACTGGATAACGGAGAGACTTTGCAAGGTTAGCAGTTATAGCGAAGGGTTTTGTGACAGTAAAATGAACATTAGGCCTGAGCTAAACTCAGCTGACAGCAGCAGTTGAAGGGAAAAATGCTGATTGCTTTCTAACACAACAAAAACGGCCACTCACTCGGAATCATAGTCCTCTTCAGCCTTCACAACGTCTCCCTCTACGTACTGCACTAATGCTGCCAAACAACCAAACATTTTGTGAATAATAATGACATCACTGATGCAAAAACACAAGTTCAAAGTCCAGATTATGTAAGTCACACTGCACTCGAACAGACTGATGCGGCTTCAAACAATCAGACTAAAGAAGAGGCTTTAAACCGCCAGAGCTGTTGATGATCTAGTGCACATTTCTCACTCACTGTGGTCCTCAGTGCAAAGTGAGCAGACACCATCTACGAGCACTTTGGCCTCAGCTGCGAGCTGGCAGGCGGGGTCTGGGATCGGGGAGGGTGTGTCGGGGCTGTCGGTCACTGGAGACGCTTGTGCGCACCTGTAGGATGAGGAAGGTAAGTCATGATCTCTGACGGGAGGCACACTGCAACTTTCTGTGTTTGTGTTGAGAAACTTACCCACTTTCAATCCCAAATAAGCTGGTATTAGTGAGAACTTTGTGGACATTCTGTAAAAACAGAGCGCAAATTTTAAAGCACCACTGATACCTAGAACAGAGAACTTTAAAGGGATAGTTCACCCAAAAATGAAGATTCTGTCACGTCGTTCCAATCCTGTATGAATTTATTTCTTCTGCTAAACATAAAAGGAGATATTTTGGCTATTGATATCAGTGGCTACCGTTAACTGTATGGTTTTGTGTTCAACAGAAGAAAAAACGCATACAGGTTTGGAATGACATGATAGTGAGTAAATGATAACCTAATTTGCATTTTTGGGTGAACTAAAGGGTTAAGTAAAAAAATTTGTTTGTGTTTACCTGTGCAAAGCCAAGTAGCTTCTTGTTGGATATCTCCAGATGTTTCCGTGTGAGTTCAGACCTTCTCAACTGGCTGTCAATGATGGTGAGCCTCCTGTTCAGTTCCATCCCATCCTCCTGTGAAGAAAAAGGCCTTTAAAACCAGTCCATTTATAGTTTACTAAAACTAAAACTATGAAAAATCATTTTCCTTAATTGAAATAAAGCTGAAATATAACTATTTGATGAAAAGTGCAAAAAAACAGAAATGTTGCTTTAGCAACTAACTGAAATGAAATAAGTTAGTTTAGTACTCCAAGTACTAAAATTACTCAAACTAAAAGTTAAATAAAAATAAAGTTAAATTGATTAAAAAACGAATAAAAATTGCAAATTTACTAAAACTAAAATCAAAATGTAAAAAAAAAACATTCAAAATTCATAATACTATACAAATACCAAAATTTAAACACTGTTTAAAACTAGTTAATCACAAACAGGACTGTGTTATACTGGATAACAGTTACC